TTTTATTTTGAGACAGGGTCTAGTTAAGTTGCCCAGGCTGGCTTCAGATGCGTACCACCATGCCAGGTCATGAATTAACTAATTGTATAAAGTGTTATGAAAGATGATATGACATGATGTTTTGGTCCTTAGGGAGTTAAAAATCTTTCTGAGCTATACCATTTAGAGGTCTATTATCTTTGTATTTCCTTTTTCATTTTTCTTTAGGATAGATGGAAGGGTTGATGATTTCTTGATTCCCTTCCCAGGCCAGGCTAGAAACTCTTGGCCCATCTTCTAATTCAGAAAGTTTTTCTATAGTACCCTTTGCTTACCCCATACCGAAGCTAATTGTCTGCTTGCGTTATCTTCCATGAGTCTTCCTTGTGCCTTCCCACAGTGGCATGTTGGGAGGTGTTTGGGGTGTGGACAGTGCCACTGTGGCTGATGGCGCAGAGCAGGGAGCTGGAGAGATGAATGGTGCAGGGGCTCACTAGTCAGTGTAGCTGCTCTGGCACCCACCTTTACTGCAGAAAGAGTGTAGTACAGTGTCTGCAAAAGTACAGTGTCTTAAAAAAAAAAAAAGTGCAGTGTCTTCACTTCCCTGGAGTTCAAAGCTTTTATTGTGTGTTTCCCTTTCAAGGTCACTAGTTTAAAATGTAGGCAGAAACACTTTATATATCCTGTGTAGGAAGAGGCTGCTTTGTATCTTCTTTCTTCCCTGTCGAGAAGCTAGTTTTCTGTCCTGTGGTATATGGAAGTTGCTTATAACGGCTCCTATCCTCCTCTTTTAAAAAAATTATGAACAGATAACTGTTGTGTGAACCGACAGCACTTTGTGCTTAGTGCTGCAGCTAATTGGTGAGATTGGACGTCTTTTGACCTGACTGTGCTAGACACATTCCCAGAGGAAGATTGTCTTTCTTCGCTCGCCTCTGAGTGGGCTTCTGGAGCACTCTGAGACGCCTGCAGCAGTGAAGATGGAGGGCACCTGCCCTCAGACAGGATGTACCTAATTGTGTCTTTTGAGCCTTGTTTTATATAATTTTAACGGGTATTACTTAAGTAAATATCTTTGAACACAGGTGTCAGCAAACCTTTTTATAAAGTGCCAGACACATTTTTGACCTTGTGGGCCCGAAGGGCTCTGTGCTGCAAGTATTCAGCTCTGCTGTGATCCTGTAAAAGTAGCCAAGGGTACTAAACAGTCGAATGAACCTGGCTGAGTTTCAGTAATAATTTCGTTTACAAAAACAAGGATCTATATTTGGCCCATGGGCCATTTTACCATCCCCCAGACCCATTGAAGGCATTCTTTTCTTTGTCACACCCTGATCACACTCAGATCTTGACATTTTACTTATGCATCGGTTATCAATTCAGGGGCTGGGGATTTAGCTCAGTGGTTCCACCGCCTGCCTCGAAAGCTCAAGGATCCGAGTTCGATCCCCAGTACCAAAAAAAAATAGAGTAATCAATTCAGATTTCTAGAGGAAGGATGCTGCGTGCATTTCGTAATAAAACTAGTGGATGGTACTAGTGTGGCCTCCGTGTCCTGCCCATAAGCCCTCTGTCTCTTCCCGTTGTTACTGCTGCTCCCCTTCTCAGGAACCTGAAATTCCTAGTATGGTTTTTTTTTTAAGTAAACTTTTATTTGAGTATAATATATATAAGAAAAAAGTGTAAGTCCAAAGTGTCAAGACTGGATCAGTTTCTGTGGCATTGTTTCAAGAGTCCTTTTTCAGGCAAGTTAGCTAGGTAAGAAAGATGGCACAGAATGATGAGGTGGTGTAGATTGTACTTGGTAAGCTAGTAGTTTCGCATCAGAAGTGTTTCAGCCAGAAAGATGTCCTAGTTCTGCCATGTAAGGGCCTCTCACAGTTGGTAGCTATGCCTGGGGAAGAGAGATAAGCCCAGATTCTGATAAGGGAGTTGGTGAACTTCAAGAATCTGTAGATTTAAACAAACTAAAAAACTAGTACTGGGGATGGAATCCTGGACCTTTGGACTGAGCTATATCACCAGAACTTTTTTATTTTTTATTCTGATACAAGGCCTCATTAAGTCACTAAGTTGCCCAGTTTGGTCTCAAACTTGGGATCCTGCCTCAGGCTCCTAGAGTGCTGGGATGTTAGGCATGCACCACCATGCCCGCCTAAGGTTTAAATTTTATGTATTTGAATTATTTGAAGAGTTGTTTTTTGTGGGTTTTTTTGGTACCAGGGATTGAACTCGGGACCTTGCGCTTGTGAGGCAGGCACTGGAACCACTGAGCTAAATCCCCGGCTCCCTATTTGAAGAGTTTTTAATGTGTGTTTTTATCATTTTAATTTTTTTCTCATTAGAATGCCCATAAGGCCAATACTTTGAATCTTTAATTCAGTTTGAGTATGTAATCCATCTTACTCCAGTATGTTTACTTTTATGCAGGAATAGGGAAGCCAGTACAGTCAGCCCTCTCTCTGTATCTGTGGGTTCCTCATCTGTATAGACTTTTCCAGTCATCCTTCCTAAACCAAGTTGCCTAGCCTCATGTGGCTCTAGACAGCGAGGAACACGGCCCGTGACACCATAAATGGTTAGCGATCTGTGATATTCACTAATGTTTCCATGACTTGATTGTGCAGTGCTCCAGTGCCAACTGCACGGTTAACTGTGGAGCTCTCTAGGGGAGGAGCATTGCAGCTCCCATTCTTCCTTCTGCACCCGCACAGTCCAGCGGAGCCCACGTGGATGGGAGGTCACATGCCCTGTGCAGCTGGAGGGACAGCAGGGTTACAGAGATAGCATTCAGCCTTCCTACATGCATATGTGCCTGTGAAGATGGGCTTTATTTTTAAGCGGACGTACACTTTTCTTGTTTAATTATTAAATTGGACTTTTTATTTCATAAAATTAATAAGCTAAAATACAAAAAGGTAGTTTTGTTACTTATATACATTAACTGTATTATATATTTTATATTCAGTTTTAGAGCGTTCCTTTTCGTCATTGTGTTCCAGGCAAGCCAAGAGGTTGGATACTCACCCCTACACAGGGTAGTAGAACAACTACGGTATTTACATAGCATTTAGATTGTATTAGGTATGATAAGTCAGGTAGAGATGATTTAAAGGATGTTTATAGATTATATATAAATACTGTACCTTGTTATGTAAGGGATTAGAGCACCTGTGATTTTGGTATCCATGGGATCCTGGAAGACAGTGTTGGATTATAAGTTCCAAATTTACTCCTTACTATTTTTAAGATTTTAGCAAAGTTATTACTCTCTTTGGGTCCAAATCCCTTATCTCTTTGTTAGAAAAAACATCTGCCTTCTTCACCTTACATGCTGTTGAAAGAATCTAATAAGGACAAATGTTGAGAAATTCCTATTGTAGGTTTCCCTTCTCTTTATGCATGTTCAGGCAAGCAGTGGCAGTTCTCTGATTTCTTTCCATCATCATGTAAGTTTACCCAAGCAGCCCTAATCTTCCAGCCTGCTCGTTTACTTGATCATATTGAATTACTGGCTTCGGTTCTGTTTGGAACAGCTTCTGTCCAACTGGTCGTGGTTATCTGATGAGCCAGAGGTACTGAGGGGATTTCATTTATTAAATTCTTACTTTAACAGGCACCTACCATATGCTAAGTAGTGTTCTATGTGCTGAAGTTTCAACATTTAATAAAAATCCTTCCATTTTCTGCCCCCACAGCTATAATCCCCAATGTGAACCAAGTATTTATTTAAATATATGTGTATATAAAATCATAGCTATGGTATTATGGTATGATAAGGGAGGTTTGATCTAAGGAAGTTTCTTTTTTAAGGTATTTTGACACAGTGATTAGGCTAACAGGAAGAAAGAACATCTCAAGAAATGGGAACAGTGCAAAGCTGGAAGCAGTGTGGTGTGTGTAAGGGACTGAGAGAAGGCTGTTGTCAGTAGAACAGCAAGGAGGAGGAAGACAGCAGAGGCCAGCAAGGAATGCAGGGCCTCAGGCCATGTGAAGGAGGCCATGATCCTAGTGGAAATCACTCAAGTGTTTGAGAAGGAATTTGACATGAGCATAAGTGAATTAGATCCTCAAGTAAATGTTAGGGGAGGGGTTTAAAGCCAGCCTTATGAGTTTTGTAAGAACTTCGAATAAAAGTTATTCTTATAATTCAAATTTATTATAACATTTTAGTTACAGAGAAACTTGCTTTGCAATTCTAGTTTTATTCTTTATGAATTGGTAGGTGTTTGTTGTTGGGCTGTAAATAGGTTCTAGCCATCACTGTTAAAAGTTTTTATAAGGCCAGAAATGGACAAAGTAGATCAGTAACCTAACTTTTCTATGGAGTTGGATGGTTAAAAACATTTCTGTGACTAATTGAGTTTTAATCTTGAATTTTAAGGTTTAATGCTGATCCACCTTAAAATGCATTATAGAGAATTATTCTTTTCAAAAGCACACCATAACTTTGAACTGGCTTTTTATATTTATTTCCCTAATCTTTTCTTTGAACTCAAATTTTGTTTTAAAGTCTTAATTGCCTACTGAGTTATAATTTGAATGTAGAAGGAAACTTGATTTTGCTTTGTGGAACTTACTTTAAAATAAATAAAACTGAATGCTGTTTTTCATCCCTACAGGATGGAAGCACATCTTAATAAAACACAAATACTCCATTAGTTAATATTCTGAGGGAGAGAATATAGTTTATTTCTTCTCCAAAATGCCTTTCAACAAATAAATACCGATAGGGAGTATAGCAGAGCATACAGTATAGATGTGGGTTGGCTTTTCTGGTTGAGTCAACTCAGACCCCAAAACTCTTTGCCTCAGTTTCTATCCCTTGGGAATGGACTCCTTAGCCTCATACTGTTGCTGCAGTGAGGACTTCCATGCCCAGTACCTGTTGAGCAGTCAGTGAATATTCCTTCTTACTGTCATCATCGTCATCACCAAACTACGAAATCTTCCTTCTAGGCTACTTAGTGACTCTGACATTTTATGGCATAGCTGTAGCTTACACCGTTTTTTTTTTTAAGGAGAAATTGTTGTAAATGAAGTCAACTTTGTGAGAAAATGCATTGCAACAGACACAAGCCAGTACGATTTATGGGGAAAGCTAATATGCAGTAACTTCAAAATCTCCTTTATTACTGATGACCCAATGCCGTTACAGGTATGTTTTATTTGTGCACTCTAAGCAGTACATGTTGTTATATAAATCACAGGTAAGGGAAAATTATAATGAATTTATCAATAACTTATTAATGTTTGGAATGTATTCTATTAAAATTCAAATAAAAATTGGAATGTTGAGGCTTGCTTGAGGAATACAGTTAGTGAGATGATTTTATATCACCTTGGTTCATTTATCCTTTGTAATCATTGGTTATATAGCCTGATGGAGTTATTTCTTAGCTTCCACATCTTTTAACTTGTTTATAAAAGCAAGTCCCTAGTCATAAAGAGAAAAGAGAAAAATTTAGTCATTTAGCAAATAATCATATAAATGCTATTGTACTGATTTCCTAAGTTTCTTTTAACTACTAAGTTCTTTTCCCAAAAATTCAAATAAAAAATGAGACTTGTCACTGAGGTTAATGAGAAAAGAATTAATGTGAACATAATTTTTTATTTCAGAAATTCCATTACAGAAATCTTCTTCTTGGAGAACATGATGTCCCTTTAACATGTGTTGAGCAGATTGTCACAGGTATGTGGTATTCAGCACGTACTCTCTGTGAAAGTTGTAGCTGGGTAAGATGATGCCTGCCTGTAGTCTAGCCACACTGGTGGCAGAGGTGTGAGGGTCGCATGAGCCCAAGAGTTCTTTGCGGGCAGCCTGGGCAATATAGTGAGACCTTGTCTGTAAAAAAAAGTAGCTAAAGTTAATTTTATTCTGAAAGTCTTCCTCAAAGAGTCCTATCTCTCAAATACTTAAGTTGGAATTTTGTTTCTGTAGGTTTACTGTCACTTTTATGTGGGGGAGGGGTCCCTAGCAACACTGATGGAAGAGAGAGGTCAATAGATCATTTTAAAATGGAGATACAAAACGTATAGCTTTTTGTCTTCTTTTTTGTTAAAATTTTAATCAAGTATATCTAGTTGTCGGTTTTATCAAAGACTCTTAAAAATATCTTCAAAAACAAAGTTAACACCCATTCCTTTGAAGTTCTAATAGTTACAGACAAATATGAAGATTTCAGATGAGCAGTGCTTAAGTGATGGGTGACTTTCCAATGCTTTTCACTAAAAATTTGTATACAGTGCTGTAAAGAATGAGTAATAAGAAAGATTTTGATACCTTTTTCCTTCCTTTTTTCTTTTTAGTAAATGACCACAAAAGAAAGCAGAAAGTTCTAGGCCCCAACCAGAAACTGAAATTTAATCCAACAGAATTAATTATTTATTGTAAAGATTTCAGAATTGTCAGATTTCGCTTTGATGAATCAGGTCCTGAAAGTGCCAAAAAGGTAATACTATTAAGTTTCATCAAGTTCTGGCTTCTGCTCTGTATTTACCAATTTCATGTCTGTGTGGAACTTTTCATTTCTTGATTACTCAGATTTTTTTTGAGGGAAATTTATCATTAGCTACTTCCTTAAGTAAAGTCAAAGCCAAGAATATTAATAGAGCTATTTCCTGGTATAAGTTTATAGCTACTTTGTAGTATTCTATATAATTTTTTATCAACTCCTGAAATATTAGAATCTCTCTTTCATATCTATTTAATATGGAAATTAGTATAGCTTTTACATTAGAATCACTACCACCTAGTTTCTGTCTTGCTTAAAAAGGTTCGGAAGTTGGAAATGTTTTGTAATTGAGGTTGTTGAGGCTTGGCTCAGTTCCACAGAGCCTTACCAACAAATTGAAAGCCACATTTGGGTTGCATCAGAATTAGGAAATACGTACTTATAGGAAGGACCTAATAATTATTAGTGGTTTAAAGAATTCTTAATGAATTAATTTGAGTGATACCTGGCAAGGGCAGCTCAAAGCTAGGGATTATTTCTCCCCTGCCTTTCAGTATTTATTACTCACTTGTGAAGTGAAATTAAAGAGCAAAAATCTCTACTTCATTTATTCCAGGTATTGGCTCTGCCAGAAGAGTGAAGCTGGTAGACCTAATTCCCCTCTGTTCTAGTCTGATGCAGCAATGCAGAAAATAGTGGTAGAATTTCCAGAGGAAAGCCTTCTCCTGTACATTGGAAATACAGTAACGGTGTTTTCATGGCCTAGGAGTTTGCTTTCTCTCAGCATTGAAGCAGTCTTTGCACCACCAAAGGCACACTTGTTTCCCATCATCAGTAGACTGCAGTAAAATTCCTGGTGATAGCAAATGAAGCTATCAAAAGGATCTTAATGCAGCTGTCTTCATATACTTAGGTGAGGGGGTGGTAAATTTGTTTTTAGAACTAGAGCCAATAGTTCCTTCACAGGAAGGCAAGCATGAGATAAATATCTGAAAATACATGATCACTGGTATTATCCAGCAGAGTGGCTGGAAGTTTTCAAATACAGCCTGGATAGCCACCTCTAGGTGTGCTGCAAAATTGAAAATGCAACTTGATAACTTTTAAGGCCTCTTTCAGCCAATTGATTCTGTTGTTTGTGATTTTGGCATTTTACCTACATGAGATGTCTCTAGAGAGAATGGCCTTAGAATTGAGTAGATAGTACACTCTGTGTAAAATATTTAACCAAGTTACTTTCCTCAGATTTAAAATATATTTGTAATTTCATTGGCCAAGGCAGCAAGAACCTGCATATGAACTTCAAGACATATGGCACCTCAAGAATGGGAACACCACAGAACTTATGAGACTGACTTAAGATAGACTATTTTAAGTAAGAAATTGATACAGTGGGCCAATAGTCTTTCAGAAAGTTTAAGTCCTTCCCTTTATTACTGTATTTATCAGCTAATACTGAGAAAAATGGAGATCATAATAATTTAATTTCTTGAGCTTTCTAGGATATTCAGTGGTCTTTTTTGACATGTCAGGCAATGTGCCCAATTTCGAAAGGTCAGGTACAGTTTCTTCCCTAAAATAGGTGAGTCTAGTTGAGAAGATAAAGCAGGAACAAATAAGCATTAGGTAACAGCACAAAATAGTAGCATGAAAGATGTCTCACACAAACATTTAGTTGCCAAATGAACAAAACATAATAAGTGCTCTGTCAGTTCAGGATATCCCTTGTTTGTTGTGCCCCTGGTGAATGATGAAGAAGGCCTCATTGAACTGTCTACACAAAGCATCATCCATCTGATGCCCTTTCCCAAGACCAATTTTCTGACAAAAGTCCTTTTCCTGTTTTAAAATATAAAAAGCGTGTTATCTCAGGCCTGAAAGAAATACTCCTTGTGTTTTGTACAGTCTTGGGAGGAAATGAGAATGTAACTACAGAGAATTTTTTCTGTGATTTACTTTTTTGGGACACAGTGAAGTCATGTGGGGCTACCAAAGCTTAATGGCTTTGTGAGTTAAAAATTATAGTGTACTCTTAATTGCAGGTGAAAGTTTTCATCTAAAATTAGGTAGCAGTTGGTAAGTCATCATCCATTTGTACCTCCTGGAAGCTTTGAATGCTACCTTTTCTCTAGAAAACACTTTGATTTTATAAATTGTTTAAAAATGGCCAGATGCATGTTTAGAGTTCTCTAATAGGTGAACTACTGATTAGAATTAAAATACTAAAAGTATTTATATTGTGTTTGAAATATGAATCCTAGAATAGTAAACTGGTTCATATTTTGTTAAATGTTGCTCTGAAACCTGCCTGTCTGGTTGATTTTTCCTCAGTTGTGAGTAAATTAGATTATTTTGTACAGCTGTGTCCACTGTCACTCATCCTTATTATCTTTGGACTGTCATGGGAAAATAATGATATTTGGACAAGGTCTATATAAAGAAAGGAATTTGATGGTACAGATATGGACATCTAACTTCATAGCAACTGTGAGCCACCACTTGAACATCCTTTGGTCAAAACAGGCAAAGAAAGAAAAGAAAAATGCTATTTTGAATGACTTATCACTTATTAAAATCATGTAAATAGGTAGACAGATGGGTGTGTACAGTAAGTGAGATATATGCCCTTTGTCTTCAGTTTATTCTCTGATTGTTGGTTGTGAACATTATTCAGGCATGCATTCTAGAGATGAATTCAGTTCATGTAATTAAAGAACACTTTGGCTTTTTCCTGGACTGTCATTTTTGCCTGGAACCTGATGCTCCTTGGTGGCTTTCCACAGAAATACGGAAACCAGTTTTTTGTTTGCAAATGTGATAGAACTAGAAGTTTGAATGTTTTCCTGGATTTTTGCTTCTCCAGTACTGCACTCCTAGCTGGTCGTAGAAGAGAAATCATCAACTGTGGGTACTAGAGTCTTTCTAAAAATTTGTATTGCCTAGGGAATACTTACAGAGTAAGAATAATTTTTCATGGAAATGAGACCTGTTTTTTTTTTTTTAAGTCTTTCAGAAACTCTGAGGAAGCTACGAATTTGGACACAGTTCTGAAATAGCATGCTTGAAAAAGAAAAAGACACTTGGCTTACTTTCTCTTCTCAGTGTTCCACAGTAACAACACAAATGTCATTCAGAGATACACAGGTTCATACATGTCCTTGTGTACGTACCCAGACATATCCCTTAATTAGGTTATATGAAAACAAGCTGCTTACACTTGTAATTATGCTACTGAGAAGCAAAAAATTTTGTTCACATTGTTCTCCCCCTTCCCACTGCCCCTGGAAGATCATCCATTATGGAAGTCATTAAACTGAGCTTCATTGTCACAATTTTTTTCAGGTCTTCTTTAAATATAAAAGCTGTTAGGCATATCTCATTTGTTTCTTAACTCGGTGTGAAACTGTGTTATTTTTAAGGAGTTTTTTTAGAAGTCTTAGTTGGATTTTGCTTTGCAGATAGGCTTTGTTTCTGTTTTGCCTTGCGGCTGCAAAAAGCCATGTTCCACCATCAGTTTTCTGTGAGTTTCTTCTGTGTACACGGGGCCCATTTCTTTTGTATAATCTGGGCCTGTGACTGTTTCCTAACTATCTTCATACTCTTAGGTTGGAGCATTTACACTAATATGTCAGGAACTAATTTTATTAGGTAGTAGTGTTCGTGCCCACTGACAGACGCAGTGCCCCTTCAGAGAGCAACTGAAGCGATCCTGACAAAATGCAGGGCCAGGTCTTCAGTGTGTGCAGAGAGGGCTTTCTTGTCTTCTCTACATTTTTAACCTGTTTCCCTTTTCTCAGTATTATACTTCATAGTTCCCTTCTCTGATCTACTTTTTTCTCCTTTACGCTTAAATAATTAACTTTTATTGTATTTGTTGTTGTCCTTGTTTTTACTTTGTTTAGTGTCTGTCTTCCTTGCTAGAATATGTTTTTTGAGGAGGTGGATTTGTGTCTGTTTTGTTCACCTCATCTCCAGAGCATAGAATATGGTGGGTGCTCGTAAATATTTGTTGAATGAATGAGAAATTTGGCATCTACCCTAAAGGAAAGGAACTTAATGGTACTGGTGTAATAAGGAGCCACCTATGGACTACTTTTTATGTACACTCATGATTGTTATTTGAATACCTTAAAAGTACAAGTACTCAAGCACAGTTAACCAATGAGATATTATATATTGGAATTATCATTGTTTGAGGACAATAAAAAGGGTTTTGGAATTAATACTCTGAAATTGACTCAGTCTAGGATGGCTTGAGAGGAAAGTAGTGCTGAACAGACATAATAATTTCCAAGAAAGCATGATTGCTCTGGAGGAGTAGGATTTCCCAAAGATTGAGAATGACAGGAGATGGCTGGGGCCAGGTCAGACAGAATGTGTATATACATTTTCTTTGACCAAGAATATGAGGGGGCATTGAGAAGGTAAAATATATATGCTGAGGAAGTTTTGTGAAAGTCAAGAATAAGGAGATTTAATTTATTAAGTGAATATCTGAGAACCACAAGTAATTATCAAGAGATCAGTGTTATTAGCCAAAATTATATGTTTAGAAGACAAATTCTTAAGTGTAGTGGTGTGGATTTCTACAGTACAGAGAAGCCCACAGAGGTTCCCTATGGTGAGTATAGCTTAAAAATGTGGCTATAGCAGGGTAGCAAAATGAGATAGACCTGGAAAGTTAAACAGTGTTTAGTAAGAAACTTGCTGCTCAAAGGAATGGGAAGTGAGGAGAACTTTCTGAAGGTACGGATTTCAGTAGTTTTGCTCCTAAAAGTGCTTTAAAGATGCTTGTACTGATTAGGAATAGAGATAACTATCTCCTAAATTTTGTAAGTGGGACCCTCACAGAAAGCTAATAGGCCTTGAGAAATAAAAGTATAAGTTTTGGGAAGATTTGTGTTGGGGGGGTGTCAACACTAGTAAATTCTGTGTCCCTGGTTGTATATTTTAATTGCTTAAGATAGGAAATACTCATTTTATGCAAGACTTAAAAATAATATTTAAGCAGCATGCTGACATATATGTACTGTTAATGGAATTTGCATCGCCTCACTCCAGACACCACTAATTTGACATGAACTAACAATTTCCTTGCTTGCTCACTGTTGAAAGTATCTCAGTTTCGGCCTAGTGCTTTACCTTCTCACTGATACCTAATCTTTTTAAGTAAGGTCATCTATTGTTCTTCCTAGCATATGTCTTAAATTTCTTCTTTGTTCCTTGCTCATTTAAGGGCTTTTCTTCCCACAATCTTGTCCAGGGTTTGTAAGTGTAGAGCACCATCTTTCATTCTACCCAACATCAACTAAGAATGACAACCATATTTCCACATACAGAGTTCCTCTGAAACCCAAGCCTGCATTAAGATTGTCAATTCTGGGCAGGGGATTTAGCTCAGTGGTTTTGCCGCCGCCTGCTGCGCAAGCGCAAGGACCTGAGTTTGATCCTTGGTACCAAAAAAAAAAAAAAAGATTGTCACTCCTTATAACAGCGTAGGTATTGCTTTCCTTTCACAGATGAGAATGGGGCTGGAAAAGAGAAATTAACTTCACACAAATTAGTTACATATCTAGTGCTCAGTGGAGCCTAGGATTCAAGCCTTGATCCCTTTGATTCTAAAGAAGCTCATACTTCTATCATAGGGCAGTCTGAACCATTTTACTTGAACAGTTTTTTGCTATACTTTTCAATGCCACCCATGTATGTATTTCTGGTAATTTTTGCAGTTATGACTTCTCTATTAAGTTTAGATTTTTTAATCTATGACCTCATTAAAACAGTAACATACCATGCTTTATATTGAGCTTTTATAGTCCATCAAATTGAAACTTCTTTCCTGTCCTATTTATTTATTTATTTATTTTTTGAGTGGATATGTTGTCACTGCTTTCTTGGAGAATGCTTCTTTTGCTTTAAAGTTTCATTTATTGGAGTAAAATTACTTCCCAGTCAAAATTCAACTCAGCACATGTACGCTGAATACTTCCATGTACTAACTGAAGATTTAACAATGTCTTGGGCAACAGCAGTGAATGAGATACCTGGCCTAAGGATCTCTTTCACATTCTAGGTCAGGGGAAGACCATGTGAATGGTATCTAAAATCACTGCCCCAGGATGATGCCCCAGGTGATTGAGGCCTTACTGTGCATTTCATTGAAGTGTGTTAAAATCAAATTCTAAATGTAGAATTTTTCCTAGGTATGCCTTGCAATAGCTCATTATTCCCAGCCAACAGACCTCCAGCTACTCTTTGCATTTGAATATGTTGGGAAAAAATACCACAATTCAGGTAAATATGAAAATACTAAATATCATGACTAACTTTATTATAAATTTTATTCTTATATTTGCCAAAAACCTCAAGTGTGTAAGTTTTAATGATAGCAGAGTTATTAGCTTCATAACTGTTAGGGAAGTAAGCAGTATACACTAAAAGAGCCAATGTTGTCAGATTATTTCTTGAAAAGTGACCAGGAAAAACCTATAAGCAGCTGTACATACAGACTTATAAGAGGGATGTCGAATATTTTACTGGCTTATATTATACCGCACTTTTAATTGGGAAGTTTTGATCAAAATAATCTTAACTTTAAAAAAAACTAGTGGGAAAGTAAAAGAATCATTGAAAAGCATAAACTTTTCTGACAAGGTATGATTTCATACAAAAATGAAAGGATTAAAAACTTTTAGTTGAATTAATTAAGACTGTCAAAATTCTGACTTTCTAAATAAAATTAATGAAAGGCAGGTGAGCATTTGTACACTGGACATACACATTCTAGCCAGTTTTGTGAAGGTAAAGTAGTTTTATCCACATATATGTCAACATGACATCACAAGGGGAATCTAGGTGATTCTGTAATTCCATATATTTTGTTTGTATCCAGAGTAATTTTAATAGTCCATGTTTCAGAATTCATAAAAGGATAGAGAAACTAAAGAAGCCATATCTCCCGTTAGCCCCTTATACGTTAGTGACTGCACATCCACTAGCTGACTGAAGTATGTGTGTTCTCTCACTATTGGATGAAGAAAAGTAAATCAGTGTGTGTTTACAATGAAAGATCTGTTCATCCCAGCATGGTCTGGGGCTTACAAACTATTAATAGTACTAGCATTTTATATTTGTTGTCTTAAAACATATAGTAATAATTTAAATGACCCATATATAAGGCATATTCCAGTATTAGTATGTTATAAATACATTAAACTGTCGTAGTACGTAGTATCCACAGATGCATGTAGTATATTTTTATTATTTTAGATGATACTAAACAACACCATAGAGATGATATATGAGAATAATGTCTGCAGAACAGCTTTTATCTTGTTCTGTATGGAATTGGATAACAGAAGTATTTGTAACTTCTCTTACCAAAATGTATATTAATTATAACTTAGACTGAGTAGCAGACATTTTTTAAAGTTTCTTTCTTAATATACAGTGAAATTACCTCTTGTCTAAAGATAGAGCATTGGCAGTTCTGCACTTAGGTAAATGTTCCCTTGGGCCATCATCATCAGGCTACAGAATGGTGCTCATCCAGGTAATCTTCAGTAAGACCCTCGCCCAGAGCTGCAAAAAAGTAGGCTTAAATGAAAGTTTCAAGAGATACAAGAATTGTAGGAAATAGTCTTTGATTCCTGCCTCAGTTTTTTGATGGTATAGCCCAGTGCTTTAGGCTGTGTTTTCCTAATAAAAATAATTCGGTCCCATATACAGATCCATGACTTATGCAGGAATGTAATGAGTGGGATTCAGCAAATACAGCTGGTAACTTGATGCCTGCTTAAGTTACTTTTCACCTTTTCCTTTACTCATTTCTTGTGGGCATCTCTGGTATATAATATTTTAGTTTATCAACCCATAGCTCTTCTACCACTGGGTTTCCTGTGAACCAGTTCTTCTTATTTCTTTATACTACTTAATAAAATTTGATGATTAATTCTTAAAATATTTAGGAACTTTTTGTATTATATCCTTCAGACTTCTCCTTTAGCACATACTTCACAAACACTGGCCAAAGTTTTGTTCAGTTTCTTCGTAGGGTAACATCCTTTAATATCCTTCCATGCTGTTACAGAAGCATAAACTGCATCTTTAAGATCAAAGGAAGCCTGAAATTTCCACACACTGCAGTCAGAATTCATTAATTTGTGAGTGAAAGATGCCCAATAATCCACTCTTGAACTTCTGGATGACACCTTGATTCATTGGCTGGATTAAAGAAGTCCTTTATGCAGGCAGGTAGGTGACAAAGCTCTTTCCACAAATAAGATCAGAAGGTCCTGTAGTGATCTAGGAAAAGAATCTCTCCCTTCAGCATTCTGAAGTTTTCTTTCCTATCCAGCATCACATGAGTAAATGCCATCTCTGAAAGGCTCTGTGGCTGTGCACATACCTCTGAATATCCTGACCTGCAGGAAGGTGTGCAGCACCGACAGGCCTCGTCACATGGCTCCACACAAGTACCACAGGAAGGACCAGTATAAGCAACAATGGCTCTGCTGCTATTCTTTTAACATCAAAGAAATCAACTATAACGACTCTGTTCATCAGGCAGAGTAATATTGGGCAGATAATATCAAGAGCAGATTCATATTTGTTATAAAATTGATAAGATGTCAGCTTATGCTTCTGAACAAAAAAATTAAAAACCTCATGAAGTTATTCTGCAGGCTCAGTGTCAGCAACTCCACATCATGACAGATATGCTTACAAGTTCTGGGATGTAATCTCGAGTTTAATGTCACTTCTCATCAGAAAATTACATTTTCAGTGGACTTTTTTTTTTTTTTTTCTTTTTTAGTAACATAGGTCTTGGCATTGGATTTTCCTTTAAATGCAAGCTTATTAGCATTGTAATTACTAATAAGCTCTGTTAGAATCACTGGTTAATTCCAGTGCCACTCAAAAGATAAAATTCAGAATTCCTAACACTGTACATAAAACCCTTCATAATCTAGAATAGCACAGCATGGTGATAGAGGTGTTCCCTCCTCTATGCCGTCCAGCAGGGTAGCTGCCAGCCACATGTGGAATTAAGCATTTGAAATATGGTTAGCACAGCTGAGAGGCTTTTTATTTTAATTTAATTTTCATTTTAGTTTATATTTAGGCACAAGTGGCTGGGAAGTTTACATTTTGCTAAGCACAGGTCTCAAGTCTAGGCCACATCTGATTTTCCAGCCTCAGTTCTGCTGCTTCTTGCATCCTTAATGTTGTAACTGTATTTAATTACTTGACAATTTGCAGTTTGTCGTGTTTTTTATAAATGTTCTTCTCTGCCCAGAATGCCTACTTCTTCCTCACTAGCTACCTGGCACATTCCATAGGACTGTTCAAATGTGGTCAGGTCCTGAAGCATTTCCTGGCCCAGCCCTCTCTCTTAGCAAAAGTTTGGGGTTTCCTCTTCTGTGTTGTCTTTACACGCAGACATCTAGTGCACATGACTCTTCACTTTACTTCTTGCTGTCTTGTTAGTGCTTTCAAAGTAGATGAAATTTTACTCATCTTTCTGCTCTCAGACTTTAGCACATCATATATTCTCAGAAAAGACCCATCTTATACCAGGAGTGAAAAATTATTTGTGGAATGGACATGGACCATTCATGGGACAGCTGAGGGTTTTGAATGGCTACAGGGAAGAATTGGAATTGGGAATAATGGTAAAGTTATGTGAGGATCTTTAAGGTTAAGAGAAGCCATTTAGGTTCAGTTGATTCCATTGGAAAATGAGCATGATTAAAAGTCTGAGGCAAGGGCTAGCATCTTTTTCAGGGCAGTGTGTCTTACGCCAAGTTGCTGACAGGTTCGAGTGCACCAGAACATCTGGCCAGGGATGTTGGCATGGAAGTTTGCCGCCATTACAGCTTACGGCTGTCTGACAGTGGGCCAGGAAGGACTGTGCCTTTGTCACCCCGGGACAGATCTGGCAAATTTGGGGAATAATTTTCTCCAGCCATTTTGCAGGGTCTCCAGGCTGTGGCCATGCACCCATTAGTGTGATAGCAGTGCTTCTTTCTTAGGGAAGGCTCTCTGCTAAGGAATTCTGGTCTGGGCCCACTATGCCAAATTGCCATTCAGGGCCAGCATTCTAGCAGGGTGCACACAGTGTTGTGATCTTTCTCAAGGAAACCAAGAATTTTCTACGGAGCAGATAAGTGAGAAGTTGGTATTGGAAAAATGAAAGAGTCAGAGGGCTTGAGAACAAAGATAATTATTGGATGCATTCATTTTTCCAGGCAAAATATGTGGAGAAAATAAACAAATGACATGTATTTACACTCCAGTTTGGGAAGGTCAGGAGTAGTTTCCGTAGAACAGTAGGGATGGAGGACGATTAGAAAATGAAGAGCAAACATTTCAGGCTTTCCTCATTATATGGAAAGGTGGTCAGTAAAAGGAAGGAAGAAGAATTTGTGGCACAGTAGCTAGAGTGGACCAGCGTGATCAAGTGCACTTTTCTTTCCTTTTTTGGGGGGGGGGGTACTAGGGATCAAAATCAGGACCTTGGCTTGTGAGGCAGGCATGGCACCACTGAGCTAAATCCCCAGCCCACTCAAACGCACTTCTAAAAAAGGTTGATTTGCTTATTTATGTTTGAAAGCAGATGAGATAGAGCCTGTAAAAGGGCAGGGAAATCAAAGGTAAGGACAAGACTAGATGAGTTATTTTTAAATGGAAAGGGTAAGGAGATTCTTGGAGAGACTTGAAAGATGAAGCAGGGAGGAGCTGCCACATCAGAGTATGTGTGACTGAAGGTACAGAAAGGGCAGAGCTAACGCTGACTAAAATGTGACTCCACCCCTAAGTTAACTGTATTGCCTTTCCTACAGCCAACAAAATTAATGGGGTATCCTCAGAAGGTGGAGGAAGAGGAGGGATTGGAGCTGGCAGCGGCACCACCAGCCAGAAAACTCCACTATTTGAAACTTACTCAGATTGGGACAGAGAAATCAAGAGGACAGGTGCTTCCGGGTGGAGAGTTTGTTCTATTAATGAGGGATACATGATATCCACTTGGTGAGTCCAGTTTTAACAATGTTATATTTATGAGGACGTGACTGCTCTCTGAAGGCTGCCACTGATGATAACTGTCCCGTTAGGGTTAATAAAATTTGTGATGATGCTTTAATGGATGTTTTAAAAAAATATAATTACAATATCAATATCCATTGAAAGAAGTTGACAGTAATTCCTTACTATTATCAGGAATCTAATCAGTGTTCATTTACATTTTATCTTGTAACACTCTTAAAATTAGTTTTTTGTGATCAAGATCCTGAAAAATTTTATGTTGAATTTGCTTCATATGTCGCCTTAGGCCTCTTAATCTACAGTGATCTCTTCCCACCTTCGTATACTTAGCATTTATTTGCAGACAGAACCAGGTCATTTGTTCTATAGACTTTTCCACATTCTCGGTGTTGCTGGTTTTATCCCTGCAATATCCTCTAACGTGTTCTTCTGCCTCCTGTATTTCCTGTAAATTTTAGTTAACTCTGGAGGCATAAATGAATCCAGGTTCACTGTTTTTGGCAAGAATGTTTCCTTAGGTGGTGATGCCTGTGCCTCCTGGTGTATTGCATTAGTTTCCAGCTGGCTCACTTTCTATGTCTCTTCCCCTCCACTCTCACCTCTTGCTTCTAGGTTGACTCATTTGGTTTGTCAGTGTGTCTGTCTCTGTCTCTGTCTCTGTCTGTCTGTCTCTCATTCTTATTACGGTGCTGACTGACCAGTAGGCTTGGGGCTGTCACCCTAATCCATTCAGTACAAATTTCACTTTTTTTTTCTTTGTTTTGGTACCAAGGATCAAACTCAGGACCTTGGGCTTGCGAGGCAGGTGCAGTGCCACTGAGCTAAATCCCTGGCCAAATTTCACTTTTTATATCATGGTTTCAGGAGCCAAAAATAGTTTTCACTGGGAGTGAGGATAATTGACCAGAAGTGTTATTTTATTAAGGATTTTTATTGTCATATTCTGTCATTTTTTCTATCAAGTTCTTCTCTCTCTAGATCTTTGTTACCCTGAAATATAGTTTATATAAGAAAGACAGTATAAATCTTTACATTTAGTTTTTATTTTTCTATTTTTTTGGTACCAGAAATCAAACTCAGGACCTCGTACTTACTAGGCAGGTACTGTGCCACTGAGCTACATCCCCAGCCTACATTTACTTTTTAAAAAAATTATTATTCATTAAGTTTATTCGTACATTTTAGGTATACAGTATGATAACATTCATCATTACATTTACTCTTACCAGTTTTCAAAATAGTGAGCAGGTTCCATAAAGTCCTTCAAAAGTGACCAGAAATTTGTTTTTACATTTGTCTAATATTTAGTACTGGTGAAGTTTTTAGAATCCTGTAAGATCATTGAAGTCCTCATTCATTCATGCAGATAATCAGCATTTTAAGAAGAAAAAAGCAGGGGGCACTCCCCTGTTACTAGCAGTTAATTCTGTATTAGGAACTTCTGAGGGTACAGACCTGGGGGTGGTGCCCTGGAGCATGTACCTTGTCTCTTGTGCTTCCCCTTGAGGTTGACATACATGGCCAGCATGCTCTGAGGTGTGTGTGCTAAGAAGGTGCGACTGGGCTTAGCTCAGCCTGCCTTGGTCACCTGCCAGGCTGAATGGAGGAAAGAAGAGAAGAGCATGTGTTGAGGTGCATTGAGTGGATCAGTGTCCTGCAGTCTCACTGTGCCTTGAAGGGATGGGAAGGATAGAAGAGATAAGGGAGCTGAAGCTTCTTGGTAGATTTATGGGGTTCAGTTTTGTTTTGTTTGCCTGGAATATGTTTAGCCACAGCCTGTGAAGAGAACAAAGGTTGGATATGTTTTCTAGAGACTGTACGTTTGATTAATAGTCATTCTGAGAAATATTTAAAGATTTTTTTTCCTCATGTTATAAATTTTAATTTTGTGAGAAATGACCACATCACACCTGTTATAGACAGAAACATCCAGGATCATTAGTGCTGGGCAGTATAGCTACCAAGTAAGGTGCATACTGAGTGGAGATAAATGTGTTTAAGTATATATGGTGTCTATAGAGTATACTAGGCCTCCCTTGAGCAAAGACCTCATAAGTTTGATCTCTTTCCCTCCAGCCTTCCAGAATACTTTGTAGTGCCAAGTTCTTTAGCAGACCAAGATCTGAAGAGCTTTTCTCATTCTTTTGTTGGAAGAAGGATGCCAGTAAGTGATTATTGTTGGATGTGTTCATTGATGCTGATGTCCACGTTTCTAACTAGCTAAGTAAGGGTTCTGCCTCTTGCCTAGCTCTGGTGCTGGAACCACTCAAATGGCAGTGCTCTCGTGCGAATGGCGCTCATCAAGGACGTGCTGCAGCAGAGGAGAATTGACCAGAGGTAACTAAGAAATGTTTCACTTTAGACAGCTGCACTTGCCATGAGTATAGTAAGTACACTATTGAGTCATAGTAAATATAATTTATGACTTGGTTTATAAAGCACTTGCAGACCTCACACTGCTGCCGTCTTATAGTAACATTGCCTTTTACATACTCTGAAAGTGCAGAGGTAAGCATCTGAGGCACTTTGGGAAAAGCCAGACTTTCCCTTCACCTTAGTGTGAGGTTCGAGCCCCCGCAAACACATTTGCAGCATCTGTAAAGTCCTCAGAAACCCCCATGTCACTGAGGTAGGAAGCCTTTCTCAGTCATGCTCACAGCGGCAGGTGTACTGACAGTCACTCTTACGTATGCTGTGTTGGCCCCAGTGCCGTTTCTGTCCACTGTCCTGCTGCCCCCTTCCTTGCTAGCACTCTGTTATCCCTGCAGCCCTGTCCCCTTCCCTCTGGACGTCACTTAGAGTCTAAGGCCACTTTCTCCACCTGTTCTGTGTTCCCTTCCTGCAGGCGCTTGCTCGAGGTAGTGCCTTTAGTGACCAGCACATTTATATGTCTAAAACCAAACTCAAGGATGTGGCCACCAGGCCTCGCCCAGCCTGCTCTCAGTACTGAGGGTCGGCCTTGTCACTTGTCTCTTTCCATCTCTTCCTCAGTCCTCATCAGATCCTGTCACTTCACTTTACACAAATCTTACAAGCCCACGCTTTTCCACCCCAACTTTACCTGTGTGTGTGTCATGGGTGTCTCATTTCTTCTCGTCCCCAGCCTCCTGGGTATTCTCTGATTTTTCGCTCTCCTGACATTTTCCAGTGCTTTTCCCTCCTCCTGGCCTGTTGTCTTACTGCTCCTTCCTGAGCACCTTCCACCCCACCCACTTGGTACTCATACCTCCTTCATATTGTAGTTCCCTTAAACTACGTCTTCCCCCTGCCTGCCTGGTGAGATTAGGACTCAAAATTCTGCTTTCTCTAGAGCCCTCTAACTTTTCTTCACACTTGTTTCTGTTTAGATGTGTGTGTGTGTTTGTGTGTGTGTGAGTGTGTGATTATTGCCTTTCTCTCTAGACTGTCGGCCCCGTGACATTGCTGTGTCTTTGTTGCAGACGCTCTATGGTTTGCCCCAGGTAGTACCTCATATTTATAAACTACTTGTTGAATGAATGAGGAAAAAATGAACAGATCTGAAAAAATAGGTCTAGAGAGCCTTAGAAATATCATAGTCCATTATGGGAACAAGCAGATCTTGGGTATTTTCCACAGCACCATAACTAAGAAAGCAGCATTTGCTGAAGCAAGTAACGGCCATGTGACCTTTACCTGATCTTTCAGTTTTCCAACATACATGGCTGCAGTTCACACAAGTCCCTATTTTATCTTAATCGTATTGGGTGAATATTAATGTTACATTAATCACATGAGAACTAGCTGTTCTGTCATTTTCTAGCCTTTGTTCTTACTGGCATGTGCTGATTATGTACTCAGGAATTTTGCCATTGGAAGGATACAACACTGTTGAATAGCCAGTGGCTATTTAAATTATTTTACTTAACTACAAATTATTGTAATGCCTTGTGTTTTTAGCAGTCCTATAAATAGGGCAGTTTTTCTTTGTTGTCTGACTTCATTCCCCACACCTTTTCCCCTTGGGCCTGTCTTCTAGCCCATGGATTTCTCAAGGATTTTCTTACAGCCACACTTGTTTCCATCGCAGGGCCTCTGCAGCAGCTGCCTCTCTGTCTAGAACACTTTCCCTCAGGTCCTGTGTCAGTCCCATTGTTTGTGTTTCAGCTCCAGTGTTGTCTTCCCAGAGGAGCCCATTCTGCCTGGGAGTAGTCTGCAGTGACTTGATTGAATCATCCTTCCCACAGCCCACCGTGTTCTCCTTTGCTTTACACCTTCCAGAGTGTAACCTCCATGAAGGCAGAGCTCTAACGTGCCCCCTTGGTCTCTGTTCTGGGCTCTCAGAATAGTGCTTTGGCTTACAGTGAGTGCTGACTAAATGTTTGTTGAATGAATAGTGACTGAAGTGTTTTGTTTTTGTTAGGATTTGTAATGCAATAACTAAAAGTCATCCACAGAGAAATGATGTTTACAAGTTGGATTTGGAGAAGACTTTGCCTAATATTCAAGAAATACAGGCGGCATTTGTAAAGCTTAAGCAACTATGTGTTAATGGTAATTTCATTTTTATTTATATATATAGTGAAAGGGGCATAAAGAATTGTATGATAGCCATCAGGAGAAGTGCTGTTCCTTAAAAATACTGAAATTGTATATTTAAGGTGACACTCATTGAAATATTTGTTCAACTTTTATCATATGAGAAGGTCAGAACCTCTAGCAAATGAAGTTTTAATTGCTTTTTGTTTTAGAGAGAAAGAAATGAACCTGTTAAAGTCTCCAAATTATGAAAGATATAGTAGTATCTTAACAGTATTGCCTAACAGCGACCTAAGATTTTTAATTCATAGGGTGTGTTTTTGAGATCAGCGACCACATGGGTCTCAAACAGAACTGTATTATATCTGCAGCCGCAGAGTTTTGATCTATGTATTTGAACAGACTCTTAGGTGGCTGTGATGTGCCACATGAAAACATCTTACATCTTCGGCATAAAGGTAGAGCTCCTGCACCACCTGGCAGTTAGGAGAGGTCGTCTTGCAGTAGGTCTTGAACAACAGGCGACTGGCTGGAAGGAGAGCTCTGAGGGGCAGGGGCAGGGTGTCTAGAAAAACACAATGCCTTGACTGTGTTCTTCACCCTGGTGTCCTCTCACTCCTAAGTGTGCAGCCCCCAGGACCATGTGTGCAGAGAGCTGGCACTGGCAGCAGGGAAGGCCAGGGCTTGCAGTGAAGAAGGTGTGCGGTGGGGTCTGGGTGGCCCTTCATGCTAGGTGGGAGAGCCAGAATCAAGGGCCAGGAAGACAGAATCATGAGCTCTCAGAAAACAGGGTTGGTGGGACTTTGTGAGGTTTCCCTGAAAGAGCCAGAGACCAGATAGGAGCACTGGGGAGTGCTTTGTTTAGCTCTGTTGTAGAAGCATAACCTGTCTTCTTAGCTGTTTACTCTGTGTTATTAATGTGGAAGTGCATGATTCTTCCTTAAGGCCAACTTTTAAATATTAGAAACTATGCTGTATCTTTTAGCTTATAGGGATCATGTTAATTTAAGCTTAATAGCCTAAAATTGTATGATATATACATGTATATATAGTTACCATTTATATTACAGAGCCTTTTGAAGAAACTGAAGAGAAATGGCTATCTTCACTGGAAAATACTCGGTGGTTAGAATATGTCAGGTTTGTCAACTTCCTTTTTTTTTCTTTAACATTTTGAATAATTCTAGACTCACACGATGTACGAAAATAGTTCAGCCAGGTAATTTTCACCCAACCTCCTTCAGTGGCAGCATCTGACATAACTAGAATAGAGCATCAAAACCAGGAAATTGACACTGGTACACTCTATGTATTTTATCAGTTCATACATGCCCTTGTGTGTGCATGTGCTGAGCACATGTGTAGTTCCATGCAGTTTTATCAGAACCTGTACCATTGTCGAGATACAGAACTGTGCCATGTCACAGGGCTTTCTCTTGCTGCCCACTCTGCACCCCATCGCTATCCCCTCGCAGCCACAGTCATCGTCATCTCTGTAATTTTATCATTTTACAGTTACATAAGTCAAGCCCTGTCTTTTTATAAAGGGTTGGTGAATTGACCTCCTGATACAAAAATCACAAAATGTACTCTATTGAAAAATCATAAATACCAAGGAAATTCATAAAGATTGAAAATACAAATGCATACAGTGAAAGATGAGTTTTGCTTAATTTCAAGTACTTTTAAAATGCATTTGTGGTGACAATTTTATTTTTAATAGTATTTTTCCCTTTCTCTTTTCAGGGCATTCCTTAAACATTCAGCAGAAGTTGTGTACATGCTAGAAAGCAAACATCTATCTGTAGTGCTACAAGGTAATTAAAATAATTCCTCAAAACACTTTGACTATCCTGCCAGCCAACCTTGGGGTCTGGTTGTCCACATTCAAGTAAATTACATCAGTTTTAGCTGTGTCTTTGTACTCAGTATTGTCAGATACACTACAAATTTTGCACATTAGTGAACATAGTGGAAAGATTGCAGGTAGAGTAGGAAGAAGTCTGATTTTTAGGAATGAATGTAGAATTGTCAGGTGCTTTTTTGGTATCTGATGAGACAGATGGTCGTGTTGTTGTTGGCCTTTATTAATATGGTGTGGTTACTTTGTCAAAACAAACCTTGCATTTGTGATTTGTGGGATAAATCCTTGGATTTCTGGAGTAATTTGTTTTATTAATACAGCATTTTCTTAATGATTTGTACATCTATAATCATATAAAAGATATCAGTTCACCGTTTTCTCATTCTTTCTCCAGCTTCGTTATCAATTCTGCCCTCATTGAAAAGCACAAGAGCTTCAAGAGACAGGAAGGAAAGGTTTCCACTTTTTCAGATAATAATGGAGAGAAGCCCATTCTCCCCCATTCACCTCTGAGCCATTGTCATGGAGTCCTCAGTAGGAAGATTATATTATACTTAGGGTCCTCGACAAGAGAGTGGTAGAATGGGGTCTATCAAAAATGTGAGGGATAGGGCCGGGGATGTAGCTCAGTGGCCCGTGCCTGCCTCGCAAGCACAAGGCCCTGAGTTTGATCCCTGGTACCACAATAAAACAAAAACAAAAACAAAAAAAACTCCAAAAAATGTGAGGGATGGGCTGCTACTATCTGGCAAATATCCATGTATAAGGCCATCTCCTACTAAACAATAATTTAGTTTACATAAAAGTCTTAAATATATATATATAAAAGTTGGTGGGGTCCAGTAAAATTTCCTTTCAGGGGCTGTCTTGAAGGTAGCCTAGGTGCAGGATACTGAATTGTCGAAACTTCAAGATGTTTCATTGTCATAATTTTCTTTCCGTTTTCTTGACAGAGGAGGAGGGAAGAGACTTGAGCTGTCTTGTAGCTTCTCTTGTTCAGGTGATGCTGGATGCGTATTTCAGGACAATTACTGGATTTCAGAGTCTGATACAGAAGGAGTGGGTCATGGCAGGATATCAGTTCCTAGACAGATGCAACCATTTAAAGAAATCAGAGAAAGAGGTAACGTGTCTTAATGCCTTATTAGCAGTCTTCAAGTGTACATAAGATGAAATTTGTGTCATATAAAGAGACAAGGGGACTTTTAAAAAATAATGCATTTATTGCATCTTAGCTTCCTTAGTCTAAGGCTGATGTATTAGAATCCAAATTGTTGTACTTACAAAGATTGTCACAACTATATAGGTAAAAGTTTTAAAAAGTTACCTATTCGATTTGCCTGAGTTAGAAGCTACCTGAAGAATTCTGCATTAATTCTTATGCAAAGCAGATAAGCACCTGAGATGTTTTGAAGTAACTCTTTTGGAATATTTTAAATATCCCTTAAAACTGAGACACATGGGTTCAGAACAGAGTTTGAGAGGGCTGTTTTTGCAACAGCTGTACTGGTTCCTGCTTTGGATCCGTTGTTCAGCCATGAAAGACTCTGCTGCATCTTACCGCCAGGCAGCCTGGTCAGTTTTCACAGGAGTGTTTCCCACTACCATTTGTCTTGTGTAGCACACCTGAAAAAGCTGTCTGCAGTTACTGGAGGATACACCAGTGGCCTAGAGGCTGATGCCACACCATTTTCTGAAGCTTAAAAACATTTTCTGGATGCTGAGCCTACAGGGTCAACCAGAAGTTAATTATAGAATTGGGTTGTTTTATGTTCTGCAGAACTATTTCCAGGAATAAAAACACATATGTTGCTTTTCTCCATTCATACAGCAACAACCTGCTTGTGTTGTGGCTTTGCAAGTAAGAGGTGTTATATGATATTTAAGGTATGTTCAATCTATTCAACTTGAGTCCAGCGAGCCCACTGTCTCTCTGTATTTGCCAGTCTCCCTTATTTTTGCTCTTCTTGGATGCTACGTGGCAGCTGTTAGAACAATACCCAGCAGCCTTTGAGTTCTCCGAGACCTACTTAACAGTGCTGTATGACAGTACTCGGATCTCATTGTTCGGCACCTTCCTGTTCAACTCTCCTCACCAGCGGGTGAAACAAAGCACAGTAAGTGGCTGTGGCTGCTTTTATTTATTTATTTATTTATTCATTTAAACAATTGAAGTACAACTAACTGCATATTTAAAATATGTAATTTTGTTACCATTTCAAGAATAATTTCTGAATCAGTTTTAACAACAAAAAATGTCTTTTTCATTTTTATGAACATTTTACATGTTTTTCTCCATAAATTATAAGTTTAAGGGTATAAATTATTTTAACCACTTAAATGGCATGCTTGTATATTTATATTTTCACATTTGTCTTATTGTTTAATAAAAATGACCCTATTTGAGGACATTTGTTTCCCAGCTCAATAAAATTTGTACAAAGCAAGATTATTTTTCTTCAAGAGTTGTAGAGCAGGAAGTTCAGAGGTGGCGGTCGACCCCGCGCTAGGCTGAGATTCTCTGCAGGTGCTCGCTTACCACATCCTCTCCGTCTCTTGTGTAAGTTCTTTCACCTGTGTGTGGATGAGCAACGGGAGGAGCCTAGAAATGCTGCCGAGACCATGGAGAGAAACTAAAGGGCAGCTCGTGCAGGGCTTGAGGGACACTGAGACCAGGGCCATCAGCACAGGGAGCTCTGTGGTCTTCAGCCTTGGCGTGAAGGCCTGGCCGAGGTTGTGTGATTGGGTCCAAGAAGGGATCCTGAATTCTGGCCCCGGCCCAGAAACACGGTGGGCTACTGCCCTCTCCGAAGTCAGCCTGTGAGCCTAGGTTCCACATCTCTCTAAGTGAAGCCTCTGGTCTCATTGTGCAAGATGGAACTATCTTGTGAATTGTGATGCAGTCTGAAAATTATCACAAATGTAAATTACTCTGAAATGTAGGCGTGAGAGACAAAATGCACTATTCAGGCTATTGTAGTAGGAAAAATTTCATGAATGAGGAGTGTCCCAAAGAAAAGCACCCATTCTGGAGTTTGAGTGTAGAGGCAGAAATGGGGTCAGCAAGGGAGCATGGGAGCTGGTTCCAGAACACAGGAGGCTGGAGAAATACTCGGCATTGCTGCTTTGGGAGGCCAGGGCTCAGGGAAACTCAGCTCTCTCAGACAGCTTTTAGACTGAATAGTTGGGTAAGGAAATTGTTGTGAAGTACATTTTAAACTTCTCTAAAGCGTTCATCTCTTTCAAACTGCAGGAGACCAGTGATAGGCCCAGACTCTGAAGGTCTAGATGATGTATTTGTTCCTAAAATGCAAGGTTTCCAGTTACTCATCTTCATTTTTTTGCACTGTCATCATTGCTGTACCTCTCTTTCCTGTGGGCTCTTTTCCTGGGCTGTGCTTGTCTCCTTCGCCTCTCTCCAGGCTCTTCCTGCACTGCTCCATGTGCACACACACACACACACACACACACACACACACACTCTCTGAGCCTGCAGAAGGAAGAAAAGACTAAGAAGCCACAGCCTCATTTGACCAAAGTGTCTGTTGAGAGAGACATCAGCTTTGGGTCCTGATGACATGGTAGTGCTCTGGGTGGACACCTGAGCAGAGACCTTTATGGCTCCCAGAGACACCCACACTCACTTTTGCTTCTTGGCTGGGTTCTGGATGTGCTGAGAGATGCTGCCAAATAGATTTCTGTTCAGGAATAAAAGATAACAGATATTCAAAAGTACTACATTTGCTTTCCATCTCGTGCACTAGAGCTGTATCTGTCTACTTCAGACACTATTTGACAGATACTAACGTGAATCCCACCTTAATGTCCTCTCCAGTAGGGACTGGCCTGCCCACTGTCCCCTCTGCGTACACACATGCTGTAAACCAAAGGGAGTTCTTTTGTTCTCCATGCTGAGGCTGCCTTAGATGTTAGTAGTCAGATGTTAGTGTTACTGTTTGTGGAAGATTTGATGTTCCTTGGAGATAAATGTTTTTAGTTTTACATTTTTTAAAAGGTGACAGGTAGAGCCGGGGATTTAGCTCAGTGGTTCCACCACCTGCTTCGCAAGCGCAAGGTCCCGAGTTCAATCCCCAGTACCAAAAAACAACAAAAAACCCTGCCATCTTTTTTTTTTTTTTGTATTAAATTCTTTTATTGGTACATTGTAGGTATACAACACAATTACATTTCTCATTGGGAAT